CAGGAGAAGGAGATGGAGAAGCAGAAACTGCTGAACCTCCCCCTGTGACCCCCCTGCCCCTCAACACCTGACACCCCCTGACACCCCCTGATCCCTGTGACCCCCCCTGATCCCTGTGACCCCCCCTGACCCCTGTGACCCCCCCTGACCCCTGTGCCCCCCTGTTTTTGGCAGGAGAAGGAGATGGAGAAGCAGAAGCTGCTGTCTCAGCAGGCCCGGCTGCACACGCGGGGGGCGGCCGAGATGGTGCTGCAGATGATCAGCGCCTGCAAGGGTGAGACCCCCAAAAAGAGACCCCTGAGAGACCCCTCAGAGACCCCCTGTGTGAGAGAGACCCCTGAGAGACCCCTGAGAGACCCCTGAGAGACCCCCCTGGGGGAGAGAGACCCCTGAGAGACCCTGAGAGACCCCTGAGAGAGACCCCTGAGAGACCCCCTGTGTGAGAGAGACCCCCAGGAGACCCCTGGGGAGAGACACCCCTGTATGAGACCCCCAGGAGACCCCCGAGAGACCCCTGAGAGACCCCTGACAGACCCCTCTGTGTGAGAGAGACCCCTGGGGAGACCCCTTGGAGAGACCCCCAAGAGACCCCTGGGAGACCCCTGAGGGTTCCCCTGGCACGAGGCCCCTCGGGTGACACACGTGTGTCCCCCCCAGGGGAGGGGGGGGCCATGGGGGGCTGTGACACACAAATGACACACATGTCACACATGTCACACACGTGTGTCCCCAGGCGAGCGGGGGGCCATGGTCTCCTCCACCCTCAAGTTGGGCATCTCCATCCTCAACGGGGGCAACGCCGACGTGCAGCAGGTGAGGGGGGGGCACCTCCGACCCCTCGGGGTGTCCCTTTGTCCCCTCAGGGGGGCACCCGTGTCCCCTTGGTCCCACTGACCCCCCAGAAAATGCTGGAGTACCTCAGGTACCCCCTGACCCCCCCTGACCCCCCAGAAAATGCTGGAGTACCTGAAGGCCAAGCGCGAGGTCGGATTTTTCCAGAGTGTCCAGGCCCTGATGCAAACCTGCAGGTGGGAATGGGGTGGGATGGGATGGGATGGGAATGGGAATGGATTGGGGGCACCTTGGAGGGAATGGGGGGCACCCCATGGGAATTGGGGTCACTTCCTGGGAATTGAGGTCACCTCCTGGGACTGGGGGGCACCCCACAGGAATTGGGGTCACCCCGGGGGCACTGGGCATCTTCCAGTGGGAATTGGGGTCACCCCACGGGAATCTGGGTCAACCCCCTGGGAACTGGGGTCCCTCTGCCTCATTGGGGTCCCCCCACGGTGAGCAGGGGCCCTGGTTGGGGGGGTTTGGGGTCTCCTGTGGCCCTCGGGAGGTCTCTGAGTCCATCTGGGGGGGGTTGGGTCCATCCCAGGGGGGTCCCATCGATTTGGGGGGG